CCCCATTGGGACAGCCTTCTCTCAGGCCCTTGGGAAGGGTCAGCCTAAAAGCGCTCAGGGATTGGAGCAAGGTCACACAGTGAAGTGTCTCACCTCACAGCACTGGGGTCAGGACAGAGCCCAAGAGAGACAGACACCCAACCCCAGCTCTGGGGGCTGCCACCCAGGTCTGCGCCCTGCGCCCTTGGAGTGTCCTGTCGGAGGCTCTGGGCAGGCAAGAGACAAAGGAGATGCGGCTTTACTGGGCCTGTGTCTCTCCTGTTTACACCGCTGTATTTCTTCATGAGCTATGTAAATGCCTGTTAGAGAGCAAACCAGGGCCTCGAGCTGCTCCGCTCTTCTGGGGCTGGGTGCCCCCCTGGGCCATCCTCACCTTGTGTCTCCCATGGGAAATCTTTCTGGAGGCCACAACAGTGGCCTGCCTATTGCCACCCCCCAGTTCAGTTGAGTCAGAGCTGGTGCTACGACTGACACATTCATTTTGTGGCCTTGGACCTGTCACTTCCCCTCTCTGAATCTCAGTTCCTTATCTGCAAAATGGGAGCACAATGAACATTTTTTGTGTGTGTGCTTTCCAAGTTGCTACTGCTTAGCTGTGCAACCTCGGGCAGTGGCTCAGCCTCTCTGAGACTCATGTTTCTCATCATCAAAACAGGGAGACAGTCACGCTAGTCATGGCACTTGGGCTGAGCTCTGGATCCTGGGAACCTGGCGTGGTGGTCATCCCACCCATCCTCCCTCCTGCCTGGCTTTTTCTTTCCTCTGCCATCAGCTTCCCCCTCCTCTTGCTCCAGAACATTCTGCCGCTCCATCCCCAGGATGAGCTTTCTCCAGGGCAGTGTGTCACAGCCCAGACCAAGAGTGAAGGGATGGGGGATATAGCTGGAGGGGCTGGGGAAGAGCTAGGCCCTGGTCCCTGCTGGGGTCACATCCAGGGCAGGGGTTGGCATGAGGGCTGGGGCATGATGGAACTGGGAGATGAGACACTGGGGCATGCTTAGTCTCCATGGCTCCCAAAGGACCCACCACCCTAGCCTTCCCAGACACCAGCAGTCCGCCGGCACGATGACAGGGCCTGGGCTGGGGACACAGCATGAGCCGTAATAGTTTATGGGGAGGCTGCAAATCCCTTTACAGGCTGAGCAATCAACTACCTCCGGCAGTCAGAGCTGGCGCCCCCAGGGGAAGGCTCTAAACCCCCAGGGCTGCGCTACATGGACCCCCGCCCAGTAGTACCCAGTGCCCCAGTAGGTACCAGGGCCAGATTGCAGGTCTTCACAACAGGCTGCTGGGCCTCTGGGTCCCACAGAGAGGCCAGGTGGACTGGGGGCTGGGAGGGGAAAGGACTGGTAGAAGCCTTGATCGTGCCCCCCACCACCACCCCTGCACTCACCCACCTGTCCCACAGCACATGGTCCACTACCGACCCATCCCGGCCCACAAAGGAAGGCGGCCACGGGAGGTGACACGGCTGTGGCCACGTCCACACAGGAGAAGCCTGGTTCCAGGGTGGTTCAATGTGAGGGGCCCAGTCTGGTGCTTTGTCTGCTGTGAAGTCCTGGCACCCTGAGTAGGAATCTGGGCTTCATCACCTCCCTGGTGGGGAGCCCGGGACAGTCACTTCTCCCTGAGCTGCCTTCTCATCGGAAAAGGAGATTAGAACCTCCTTGTGGCGGGATTAAATGAGACAACATAAGTGAGGGGTACCTGGGTGGCCCAGGCGATTAAGCGTCAGACTCTTGATCTCAGCTCAGGTTTTGATCTCAGGGTCATGAGTTCAAGCCCCACATTGGGCTCCGTGCTGGGTGTGGAGCCTACTTTAAAAAAAAAAAAAAAAAGACAATGTAGGGGAAGCGTCTGGACTGTGGGCAGTGATGACTATTACTATTGCCATATAACTCCAGGGGAGCCCCCACCTCCTTTCTGCTCAAAGGGACACTTGCTCAGGGGCAGCAACCTTGGTTCAAGTCCTGACTCTTTCCTTACCAGCTAGAGACCCATCTGTGGGGCAGTCATCTTCGCTCCCTAATTCCCTACTCCCAGGTAAACTGTAGAGGCCTGTGTGCCAATGAGTGGTTCCTAAGAGGACAAAGGCGCCTCTGAGGTCCCTGTGGAGGTCCCCAGAGGTGACTGCACTAACCCTCGCGTCCTGCATGCCCTTGTGTCCTGTGACTTCACTGCTCCTCCCACAAAGAGCTGGAGGCTGTCCTCCCTCCCCTCGAAGCCAGGCGGGCCTGTGACTTGCCTTGATTCCTGGCCTAGGCTTCGAGAGACCTGGCAGTTTCCGTTTTGCCGTCTTAGAGTGCCGAGCCACCATGAAAAAGTCCAGCTAGCCTGCTGGAGAGACCACAGGGAAATGGAGAAGCAGGCTGGCCTACAGCCCTTCCGGCCTCCCCCGCTGAGACAGCCCTGGCCAGAAGCCGCTGTGGATCTTCCGGCCGCAGTCAAGGCTCCCTAATCAACACCACGCACAGCAGCGCCGAGCTGCCTTTACCAAGCCCTGCCCAGGTTGCGCGTTGGAGCAAATAAATGCTTGTTATTTTGAACCACTAAGTTTTGGGGTGGTTGTCATGTAGCAATAAATAACTGATAGGGTCCCTGATAGGTCTTTCCGCATCATCTTCACCCAAACTTGGCTTAGAGCCGGTTGAGTTCCTTGGCCTCAGCTAATTGGATAAAGGGATGAGCACCTGACTTAGGGCAGCCAAGCCATTGGTTGGCAGGTGGCCAATCAGATTCTTCTCCTCAGGAGACTATGAATGAAGAGATCAGAGACCCTAGCAAGCCGGACTCTGAAAGAGGCTGGAGTTGGGGTTTTGGAATGGGAGCTGGGGTGACTTTTAACCCTGTGTTATCAGAGGACATAATATTGGGGAGAGAAGCAGGAAAGGTGATAGCCCACGCCCACGGAACCAGGTTCTGTGAGGTCCCCAATAAATCACTTAATTCCAGATGGTCTGTGCTGCGCCCCCTCCTTATACCTCATGAACCTTGACTTCAGGCCCTAAAAGGCTCAAGGTCCCCCAGGACTCCTAATACTGGCCAGGGTCTACACTGCTCCTCTGACCCCTTCTCCCTGGCTCCCTGTCACCTCCATTCCTGCAAACACACGCAGGGGGAGGCCTTGTCCTCCAGGGCCCCAGAGCATGGCCACTCTTTCTGTCCTGGGCAAACTGCAGTGATGGCCTGCGTCTGCTCCCATCCTCCCACACAGCCCCGAGGCTTTCCGTGGCAAATCAGAGGACATCGCCAGGCTTGGCTTCTACCCCAGTCTCATTTGAAGTTCCAGCTCCCTGTTTCCCACTGTCCCCCGTCCGGCCCCTTTCCTTCCCCGTTCCTGAGTACACCTGCCACTTCCCTGCCTCTCCGTAAGGATGCCATGGTGGTGAAAATCGTACAGCAGCAAACAACTGTCACACCTGAGATGGAACTGGACCCAAGGTCTGCCTGACCCCAAAGCCCAGGCCCCATCCATCACTCTGCTGGGTGACTCTGCGTGTGTTACTTCCCCTCTCCGGGCCCCCAATTCTCACTGGTGAGGAGTACACCAGGGGCGGGGGCGGGCTGGTGGTGACCAGGTGCTTGCTGCCGTCTGACTCTGCAGGTCATTCCCCCTTCAATCTGGCAGGGCTCTTGAGTTCATGACTATCTTTGATAGATGGAGGTCCCACGCCTAGGAAGGGGCTGCTCTAAAACCCAGGCTGCCTTTGCTTGGGCCAACCCAGCCTCCTGCCCTGAGCATTCACATTCCCCCAAAAGGACTCTCTCCCCTATCTGAAAACAACCTCACAATTTTCTTGTGTCCTTAAAGTTCCTCAGAGGTCTGGTTCCCTCGAAGTAGCCAAGAATAAACTGGCCCCTTGAGCTGCTTGCTCTTACCAGAAGCTTGTGAAACCCTAGGCGTCTCAGAGGGGTAAGTAACAATCCCACAGGCTGGCTCCTGAGGGAGAACGGTGCCCAACAAGGTATCTAGGGCTGGGGCCATGGACAGGCTGTGTGCCTGTCTCTCTCTGGAGGTGAGCAGGCCTATCAGGTTCTTGGAGCCTCATGTGATACCACTGGCCTCTTGTTATATACAAGCCACCCCCTTGCCCAAGGACTCCCCTCTCTGCTCCTGTGCTCCCCAAAGCGGTCTCCTGCTAGGTGGGGGTCCCCAGGCCTGGCTCTGAGAAGCCCCAAGCCAGGCTTAGGAGTCTGTGGCTCTGGGAGTCTGGAACTCCCAGGCCCTGCTCCTGTCACTTAGAAGCTGTGTGGCTTTGGATATGCTACCACCCTCTCTGGTCCTCAGCCTCTGCATCTGCACCAGAGTTGGCCTTGATAGGAATCACCACCAGCACCAGTAGAGGGCTTACTGGGTGCCAGGTACCACACCAAACAACAAATACACCTATGCTCCTTCATTTAACGTCCTAATGACCAAAAGTAGTAAGATCATCTTTATGTGACAGAGAAGCAGACCGAGGCTCAGAGGGGTTAAGTAACAATCCCGAAGAGCTAGCCGGTGCTAGACCAGGACCTCAAGCCCAAAGCTCAGAGCTCAGAGCCTATAATCACTAGTCTAGCCTGCTCCCCAGGGACCATCAACCTTTTTCCACACCAACGGGCGCCCTCCCTGCCCGACAGAGATGCTGGCCGAGCTAGTCCCCAGCCTCTTGAGTCAGGGCCCATGGAGTCAGGGAAGGTGACAGGGCGACCGGACTGGCCCTTGGCAATTCTGTCATCCAGGGCAGCCCTTCCCAAGGCTGAGTTTGGAGCGGCCCGGTTTGGTGTGAGCGGGCGGGGTGGCGTCTGACCCTCCAGGTCACCTCCAGTGCAGTGGACCCCGCTCCCACACCCACGACTCTTCAGAGCCCGGGCTAGGCTCATCGGATGGCGGCGGCCTGGGCCGCTGTTCTAAGGAGAGCCTCTGCAAGTCCCTGGAGCCAGCGGCCCTTCCCCGATCTGCCCCCAAGCCTGACCCCACGCTCCCCCCATGGTGAGATAATAATGACCATAATGAGAACAGTCACCCACACATGTGCACAGCGCTTTACAGGTTACAAAGTGTTTCACATACATCATCTCATCAATTCCTCACAACAGCCCTGTGAGGTAGGCAGGGCAGGGGGTCACGTTTCCATTTGTACAGATGTGGAGACTGAGGCCCAGAGAGGGTCAGTGACCTGTCTGAAACCACACAGTAAGTCAGTGGCAGAGCTGGGACCAGAAGTTAGGCCTCGGTCCTGCCTCCAGCCCCTGGCCCTCTGCACTGACTGTGCCGTCCTGCAGGAGGACCCCAGCCCCTGTCCAGAGTCTCAGCCACACCCGAGTCGGGCCCCCGACCCCCAGCAGTACTGCTTTCCGGCGGCTTGGCCACCAGCCCCCACCCCCACCAGGCAGCCCTGTCTCCTCCACCTGCTCCCTGCAGACGGCCAGCCCGGAGCCGGGCCCACACCTGCCGCCCTGCCCGCTCCTGTCAGCTGCCCGGGCAGGGGGGGCTGGAGCCTCCTTTCCTGTTTTCCTGAGTGATCCCTCCCCATAGGGGAAGAGAAGAGAAAGGAGGAAGAGAAGGAGGAGGAGGAGGGGGAGGAAGAAGAGAAAAACAAGAAACTGAGTTGGAAGAGGGCCCTGGAGCAATCAGGACGTCAAAAGTTTGCATTCCGACTAGCTATAGGAAATAGGTTTTTTTTTTCTCTTTTTATTATTTCAAGTTTTCATAAAAATCCATAATTATTGAAACCCAAGTTACAGAGGAAGCTCGTAACTTTTTTTTATTGAATTATTGACTGTGCCACGTGTCGGTCTGTTGGCTTCCGACTCCAGTCTGTCAACGTGTGGCCCTGTGCAGGTGGGGTCCCCAGGCCTGGCCTGCGGAGGTCCTGGTAGACAGAGGGCAGGCGGTGAGGGCCGGCAGGGGGTGGGGGTGGGGGGGAGCCGCAGGGAACAGGGGTGTGTGTGGAGGGCCAGGGGAGCGGCGGGAAGGACTGAGGAGCGAGCGCTCAGCGGCCAGGCCCCTTCCCCTGCCCGGCCTGCCCCGGGGGTCCCTGCCCCCCCCGCCCCGTCCTCAGATCATCTTCATGTTGAACTTGCGGGGCGCGTCGGCGGAGCTGATGCCCGCGTCCGACTTGCGGGGCACGTACTCGATCTCGATGTTGTGCTTCGTGTTGCCCTTGCCTCGGCTCCAGAGGAACAACAGCACCAGGCAGAAGAGGACGACGCCCAGGAAAGAGATGAAGCCCATGGTGGTGGCGATGATGAGGGTCTTGATGTCGAAGGGGAAAGGCACGGTGGCTCGGGTGCTGTTGGCCTCTCCCTCACCCGGCTGGTTGGAGATGAAAGCGAAGGTCTTGTTGGGCTGATGGGGCCAGTCGGGCGAGTAGCTGCGCACGTGCAGGTGGGCCGGCATCGAGTCGTTGCCGCCCGCGTTGGCCGCGATGCACAGGTACGTGCCGTTGTCCTGCACCTGGGCGTAGCGCACCTCCAGCGTGCCGTCGGGGAAGACTGTGAGCCGCCCATTGCTCTTGGCCGAAACCAGGTGCTTGCGGGGCGAGAGCCAGAGGATGGCGGGCGGCGGGTCACCGTCCGCCCGGCACACGAACTGCACCGTGTGGCCCTCGTCCACGAACACCTGCTGCGCCTTGCGGTCCCGGATGCGGGCGCGGCGGCAGGTGAAGTAGTTGGGCAGGAGCACGTCGGGGAAGTCCTTGAACTCCTTGCCCTGGACGAACTCGGGCGTGGCGCACGTGGGCTGCTGCCGGTTGAAGTTGAGCCGCCAGCGGCGCCGGAACACCCACAGGAGCCGGCAGTCGCAGGCCAGCGGGTTGGAGTCCAGGATGAGCGTCTCCAGGTTGCCCACCGAGTGGAAGGCCGACTCCTCCAGGGTGGTCAGCTGGTTGCCCGAGACGTTGAGCACGCGCAGGTAGTTGAGGCCGCGGAAGGCGTAGGGCTCCACCACGGCCAGCTGCCCACCCACCAGCTGGATCTCCTGCAGCCGCAGCAGCTCATGCAACATGGAGCCCTCGATGGTGCTGATGGGATTGTAGGAGAGGTTGAGGAAGCGGAGATAGACCAGGTGGCGCACGGCCAGGTAGGGCACGGCAGTCAGGTTGCAGTGGGTGATGGACAGGGAGGTCAGATTGAGGCCATAGAGGCAGTTGGGTGTCATGGTGTCCAAATAGGGCCAGTGGGAGATCTCCAAGACCTTGAGCCGGTACAACCTCTTGAAGGAGTAGTCCCGAATGGCGTTGATGTTGAGGTGCCGGAGCCTCAGGACGATAAGGCTGTGCAGGTGGGACAGCGCCTCGGTGGGGATGGAGGTCAGGTTGCATTTCTCCAGCGTCAGCTGCTCCAGGCTGTTGAGGCCGCTGAAGGCCCGGTGGGAGATGTAGACGAGGTCATTGTCGCCGACCTCCAGCGACTTGAGGTTGTACAGGTCCTGGAACATGTAGTCCAGCAGGATGACGATCTTATTCTCGCTGATGTCCAGCTTGGTCAGGTTACTGAGGCCCGTGAAGACGCCCAGGGGGATGAGCTTCAGCCGGTTGCTGCGCAGCCCCAGCGTCCGCAGGCTGAAGAGGTTGTTGAAGGCGCCGGGCTCCACAGCGCTCACGATGTTCTCGTTGAGCTCCAGCTCTTCCAGGTGCGGGAAGCTGGCGAACTCGTCCTGGTTGAGTGTCTTGATGCGGTTCTTGCCCAGGTCCAGCAGGCGGGTCTCGGTGGGGATGCCCTCAGGGACCGCCACGAAGCGCTTGCGGTGACAGAGCACGGCCCGCTCCTGGGCCGAGCACTCGCAGCGGGGCGGGCAGCCGGAGGCCGAGCCTGACAGCACCGAGCCCAGCACCAGCAGGAGGATGGGCTGCCAGCAGGCCAGGAGGGGGCTGGGCATGCTCCTCGCACCCCCCGCCAGCATCCTCTCGCTCACCTGCAGCCAGGAGCAAGCACAGGACAGAGGCGGCGGTTAGGGGACCGTGTTTGGCCGGCCCCACCCTGGGCCCTCCTGCCCTGTCAGGGGGTCCGTGACACAGACAGAGAGCGGGGGGTGGGGGGCCCAGAGTGGCACAGGACACCCACCCAGGACCCCCGAGTGAGGTCCAGACGCCCAGGCCAGAGAGTCTCCTGCCACCCCACGCTGCTTCCTCCGTGCTCCTGACCCTGCCCAGAGCCCTCCCAAAGGAATTCCCCAGCATCCCTGGGATGGGGGGTGGGGTGCACTGAAGAGGAGCCTGGCATTGGCACCCCAGGTGGCGTCCACCTCCTTTACATTTTATGTTTCATAGGCAATGTGATCCAGGCATGCACCCCATACCCCACCGCACACCCTGAGCCTCAGCTTCCCCTGGTGCTCATCAGGGATAAAGCCAGACCTGCTGAGTTGCCCTCAGGGCTCACAGAGGGAATCAAAGGGGCTCAGAGGCTGAAGCCTCCGGGAACAGCCTGCAGAGGAGTATGTCTGGTCCCCAGCCTGCCAGGCCAGGGCTCCTGAGGCTGCTGGGGGCCACCCTCTCAGCCTGAGCTTCCCCAGGCACAGACACCATGGCCCTCTCCTCACCACCACTGCAGTTGAACCCCAGCCCAAGAGCCCTGGGATATCAGCAAACCCAGTGGCACCTGTCCGTGTTCATGAATCTGCTCCCCAGTGGGCTTTCCTGATCAGTGGCGGGCTCCCCAGCCAGAAAGCTGGGACTCTGCCCTGATGCCCGCCCCCTCGCCGTGGAGTCTCTCCGACTCTCCCCTTCCTCCAGGTCCACTGTGAGCCCCCTGAGCTCGGGAGCTCGGGAGCTCAGGGCTCAGGGCCCAGTGAACGAGTGTTCCTGACCTTGGCCCTTGCAGTTCTTTCTTCCTGGAATGCCCCTTCCCCTGCCTGTTGAAACCCCATCTCCATGGCCTGATTTAATGTCTACTGCTCCGAGAAGATTTTTCTGACCCCCAGGGGGAGATAGGGGGAGATGAAGGGCCACCAGACTTCATCTGTCTGTGTCTCGGGGTTCTGATCACACCCCTCCTAGAGCCAGGGTTCTGTGCAGCTGCTGGTCTGAGGTGGGTACAGTCAGGGCCACGGGCCGGGCCGCTAGCTGGAGGCCAGTCCCCGCTGCAGCACTGAGGACACGAGGCTCATCACAGCTGGGCCCTGAGGAACATGCAGGGCTTGGGTGGCTTTCACAGGGGTAACGGCACCAGGAGGGGGGCCCAGCTTGAGTGCAGGCTGCAAGAGGAGTAAGCAAGGGGTGTGTGGGAGCTAGCCCCCCATGACCCTCTCCCAGCCGTGTTGTGAGGCGACTTATTCCTACTTGTGCCCAGACTGCCTCCCCATCTCCTCTGTCCCTCCTCTGTGCCACCTCCTGGGAAACTGGCCCAGCAGGGTAAGTAGGGGGCTAGGAGGACTTCTCCAAACTCCAGAGGGTGGGCCAGATGGCCCCAGGGGCTGAACCAGAGCCCGACTGCTGCCTGTTCACACGCCCCACACACATGGCGCCCAGGGGGGCTCACTGCAGGAAGGGGAAGCCCAGGCTGGGGGGGTCCCACATCCCTACCTCAACTCTCCCAGCACCACCCCTACACCTGCACAGAGCCTCTGCTTTCATGGCTGCAGGTCTTGTCACCCACCCTTCGCCCCTTCAGGCAACGGGGGCTCAAAGAGCTTGTGGCTCCAGCCCGCAGAGGGGGTGGATCTGGGAGCAGAGTTCTGCTCTGCGGGACATGCCACACACCTTCCAGTGCTCCAGCGGCCTCCCAGGCCTGACAGGTGCTCCCTGGTCGTTGATGGACTAAGTGACTGATTAACCAGAGGGGGCTCTGGGTGTCACTGACATGTTATGGAATCTGCAAGATTTTGCTATCCCCAGCGGCTTTGTCCACCCCCCTCCCCTCAGCCCCTCTCATCCTCTCTCTAGACTCTGTGGTTCGGCCTCCCCCACCCCACCCCCACCAGGCCATTTCCCACAGCCACACATGCTCTCCCAGTGACCCACCAGAAAAGCAAACATCCTGACAGGCGATCGATACGTAATTGGGCCGGCAGCTGGGGCTGGCGCGGGAGTGAGGCTGAGGACCTGGGGAGGTAAATGGGACTTTGAGCGCCAGCTCAGGGCTGGGCTGGTGGGCGAGGTGGAGGCTGCTGGAGAGGGGGCTGAGGACCGAGAGGGGGGACAGCCAGGGCACAGGTCACCTGAGATGTTCAGAAACCCCTCACACACACCAGAATAAGGCATTCAAAGCCACCACCACCACCTTGCCTCCCCCCGACCCATGTTCGCATCTCCCACCAGTCTGCCCCATGAAGCCACCCAGGTGTCCCCACCTTGTCCTGGCTCTAAACCATCCTTTTGGAGACCGCTCTCAGCCTCCTGCCCCAGCGGCCTTTATGACCTCCTTTCTCAAAGGCCACCTCCTCCAGGAAGCCGTCCGTAACCTACGCAGTCAGAAATCATCTTTTTCCCATAACTTCGAAGCATCTTAGACTTATTAGTAGTGACATTATGCAACCGCTGTACAGCACACACCTCATTCTAAAAATCGCTTGAGCCAATTGACAGAAAATATTATGCCACAAGACGATAAAAGGATAAAGCAAGCCAACGAGGGAAGAATACCACCGAGTCCTGCATAATGACGAAAGGGGTGAGCTTCCTGGCAACCTGAACAAAGAGGGAAATATGCTGCAAAGCCTCAGCACTTGGCGCTGTGCCTGTATGTTTAATGCTGGGTCAGTCACGGGTGCTTCTGTCTCACAGAACAGCCCCCGGTGATGTTCTTGGACAGACAAAGTGTACGCAAGAGCTTTTGCAGAGGTTGAGGGCCCTCTGAGTGAGCAGTGAGGGACCTGGGGAATTCAAATCCATTGATGGAAAAGCTGACTGGCATGGCCTTGCATGGCTGCCCTCCACCCTCCACCCCCTGACCCCCTGACCTGGCAGAGAGACCCGCAGAACAACAGGCCACACTCCACAGGACCAAGACAGCTTCAGGAGGGCAAGACCCCCAAACTGCCTCATCCCTCACCTTTTACATGTGGCTGTCCTGAAAGGGGGGGAAACTGAGGCCTGGAGAGGCTAAGATGCCTGCCCAAGCCAGCACACAGGCCCGAGTCTCCCAGTCTCACACCCCCATGGGGTCCCTGTCATCGAGGGGTGCGGACAGGGCTGTGTCTGCAGGGGTCACCAGAGCTGCTGATGGGCACTGTGTCGCTCCTGCCTTTCTGGCACCGTGAACCCTGCTGGTCACTCCTGCAATGGCAAAGGAGAAGTGTTTTATGCATTTTAATCAGCGTTTTATTTTGGACCCCTGCCCCCTGAAGGGCTTCCCACAAGGCAAGAGTCTAAAAATTGGACCAATAAATACAACGGGAATAAACATCAAAGGCAGGCAGGTGGGCAGGCAAAGGGAGAGCCATGCCCGGGGCACAATGTTCAGAGCGCACAGCAGCCTGAGTCCTCCCAGTGCCGGAGTGATGGGGGGAGCGGAGCCCTCAGACATGCGTGCAGAGGGCCGCACCACCACCACACTCTCACTCATATGCCAGGGCATAACTGCTTGGCTCCGTTGCTCCCCAGACTGGCCACTCTGCTGTGTGACCTCGGGCACAGCCTGCCCTCTCTGGGCTACTTCTTCCACTGTGCAGTGAAGGGTGGATTCCAGGCTCCCTGAGGGAGCCCACAGCAGACACTGACTTCTTCCATCTAGAAAGTCAACATTCTCAAACCTGGTTAGGGGTGAAGAGGAGTGGGGGCTCAGGCCCCAAACTGCAGTTCCACTGGGGCTGGAAGGATCTATTTGAAAGGTCTCACCATGGGGCTGTCCCCTGTGGGGCTCAGGATGGGACAGGTGACTGATGGGGACAGGAGGGGCATGGGATCACCTGGGAGTGGACTTGGGGAGGGAGGACAGGGGTCACTCTGTCTCATAAGGTAGATTTCAAAAGAGGTATTTTTTTTTAGCCATTTTACAGATGAGAACTCAGGCTTCCAAAAGGGAATTCATTTGCCCTCCGGCCTAGGCACAAAATGAGGAGGCAAGAGAGCTCCATTCCTCCTGGTCCACTCGCTTGCCCCAAGAGCTGCAGGCTGTGAATGCTTCTGGACACACAGGGAGGGTAAGGCATGTCAGGGCAGTGGGTGAGGCCCCGGGCCCACGGCAGGCACCGGTCCTTGGATACCTGCAAGTAGGCACCCTGTGCCCCAATCCCCACAAAAGCCTTTCCTCAACTGTGTATGTTGAACATGCTGAATTCTTCCTCCGGCGCCTGTTGCCACTGTCTCTGCTAGAATCTCACCTAATTTGGGGTCGGCTGCAGCACAGAATGAAAGGTTTAGTTATTTTAGGTTTATAGTATCAATATTTCATGGTGTTCCCACTCAGCATTCTGCAGGGAGCGCAAGGCTCCCCAGCACACATGGGCATGAGGTCCCCGGCAGGGAGGCGCCCGCCGCCATGGCTAGGGGCCAGGGCCTCTGGGGGGCAGCCCGGCTGTGGGACCTGAGCACCTGCAGCGGGCTGTCGCCCCACGTGGACATGAGGCGGGTGTGCACCATCACAGGCTCCACGTCTATGACTGGGTCTGCAGCAGGAGTGAGGAGGGATGGCTGACCTGGGAAGGGGGCTGAGGGTGTCAGAACATCTGCCTACAGCCCTATCCAGCTCTGCCCCCCAGAAATGAGCAGAAGAGCAGGAGAGGGAAAGGTGACAGAAATAGAGAAGACACACAATGGGCCACACGGGAAAGAAAGGGAAGAGAAGAGAGAGGAAGAGAAAACGGAGGAGAAAGGGGCAGCGGGTGGGTAGGGGCAGCCTGGGTTGGGGGGAGATGGAGCTTGGCCTGCAGACTCAGCTACCAGTCCTGGAGCTCCTGGGCTCATGATGCCTGTCCCAGGCCCCAGGCCTGTTACCACATCCTGTCCTCAATTCCACCCCATGCCGGAGGGCTGATCACTCAGAAAGGGGAAGGCACTCCTGCAGAGTGACCAAGGAACAGGCAGATTCCCCCTGACTTGCCCTGTCCCCAAGTGCCCGGCTGCCTGCCTGAGGTCCCTTCTTCACCTTCAGCTCCAGAGCATGGAGCCACTGGATCCCTGTCCTGAAATGATGAAGTGTGTCAGTGGGGGTGGGGGGTGGACGTGGGGGTGGAGGGAGGTCTGCCTAGGAAGCCCTCAACGGTCACCCCAGGTCAGGGACTTTCTTCTGCAGCACTGCTTGGCTGCCCATCACGTGCCCAGAGACCTCCCGCTCGGCTTGCAGACTCCAGCTTAAGAAGGGATCACCCCCCTGGGGGCCCCCCTCTGGATCTCTGTAGGGTCTGTGTGTGATCTGCTATGTTTGCCTCTCTCCCTTGCCTCTCCCCTGTCGGAGTTTCTGGGCCTTCCCTCTGTGTCTCCCAGATTGAGAGCCCCCAGGGCAGGGCCAGGGCTGATAGAACCTCGTCCATCCTCAAAGGCGCAGTGAAAGCCAGTCAAACAACGGCTGGGGCAGCTCCTGAGAACAGCCCCTCCTAGTCTAGGCTCTTCCGAGAGCTTCCTGGAGGAGGAGGAGGCGTCCCCTGAGCTCAGTCTCCACAGGCCAAGAAGGGAAGGGGGGGGCATTTTTGGTGCAAAACCAAGGTGTGCGGGGGGTGGAGAGCATCCAGGGACTCCTAATTGCTTTTCTCCTCCCCCAAATCCTGACCGGTCTGGGCTCCTTCTAAAGCCACTCCATTCTGGCTTTCTAGGGCTAATCCCTGCTGAGGTGTGAACGGCTGATAATGGTTGAAGGTGTGAGCTGCTAATGGAGGAAACTCAGTCCCTGGCCAGCCTAATTGGGCGGGGGCTGCCTCCTGGCACAGGGCGTGTGGGAGGACGACAGGGAACCCTGAGAGGAGGGGTCTGGTGCCAGGGCTGGGCTCCCGCAGGAGAGAGCCAGCCTGTGTGGCCAGTGGGTGAGCAGCACGGCAGCCTCTGTCTGTCTCCTCCTGGGCTGCTGTGCCCACCTTGGCCTATCCTCTCCCCTCTCCTCCTCCTTCAGCTGCCCCCCACAGGGAGGAAAAAAAATCAACGTGGAAGAAAATTGAGGTCATGTCCTTTGTCGTGTATAATTTTTTATTTTCCTCTTGTTCTTTCTGGCAGAGTTGCTGGGCCCCCCGGGGCACGTGTGTGTATGTGTGTGTGTGTGTGTGTGTGTGTGTGTGTGTAGGGGAGGGTGGCCCATGCGGGTGTGTGGGCCTGCCGCCCTCCTCCCACCACTCCACAGCCTCCCTGGCCAGCGCCATCTCTTAGGTGTGCGTGGAAACTCAAGCGTCTCCGCAAGGCGCTCACCCGGCCTGTCAGCCGCGCCAGGTTGGAGGCTGCTGACTGGGCACAGTGGGCCTGCCTGCCCGTTTGCTAGGGCGGCTGCCCGTGTGTGGCCCCTGGGCAGGCACCCACCCCACGCACCTGAGGGCCGGATGCCCCTGCCCATCCCACAGCCCACCCCACGGGAGCAGAGATGCTCTCGAGCTGCCAGCCTTCCAGCCAGCCCACAGCTCCAGGCTATTTTCAGGATAAATTATGAATTTTAACTGTCCAAGCCTCTTAGTGTTTAAAGGCTTCTATATACAGGCTCTGCCCTCCAGAAGTGGCCAGCTTGGTGGAGAAGAGCAGGGGGAGGGCAAGGCCTAGAGGAGGCCACTTCTCAGGGAGCAAAGGGCACTGGGCCCACAGGTCCCACGCTGGAGCTCCAATCAGGGCTCACTGCACACCTGCCCTGCTGTGTGACCTTGGGTGAGTCCTGGACCACTCTGGCCCTGGCTGCCCCTTCACAGGCTTGTTCTGAGGGAAGAGTCCAGCTGTGAAGCTAGGAGCTGTCCTGGGGAGGGTGGGAGGGAGCCACTGGTTCTAGGAAACTTCCATATTGTCTGTGCTGAGCCCACCTGAGTGAAGAGCACCCTTCCTTGGATTGGAGCTGTCCCAGAATTGAGGAGGGGTAGGCAAGCACCCATGTGGTGACCTGAGGAGGCTCAAGGAAAACCCATGTCCGTACCACTACCTCTCCCTTCCCACGTCTCTCTGGCTCTAAAACACCAACCTAGGCTCACAGGGGCAAGAAGGTACCGCTGAAGGTCTCTGGCTCCATCCGCCACCCAGGCCATCTTGGGAGGTGCCTGGCAGATCCCCTCATCCCTTCCTGACCGCCCCAGTCCTCAGGGCTCCTCTACCTTGCGAACAGCTCAGGTGGGCCCATCTCAGGCTTTGGAGGCCTGGAAACCAGCCAATCCCCACCTGGGAGGGCCATGAGCCTCCAGGTTGGAAGAGGAGGAGCTCACAGCCTCAGAGGACCAGGGCAGGGAGCAGGCAAGGGTGCAACCAGCAGGGCATTGGGAGGCCAGAGACCTGATCAATATGATGGTGATGAGGGCCTTTCGTGTGCCAGGCATGATTCTAAGCACTTTACATACAAAAATTCATCTCTCCCACCACAACCTGTTGAGGTAGGCTGTGTCATTATCCCCATTTTGCAGATGGAAAAAACAGAAGCACACACAAGTTCTGTAACTTGCTCAAGGTCATAAAGAGGTTCTGTAACTTGTTCAAGGTCACACGGCGAGCAGGCTATGAACTCAAACATGAGTTTGTTTCCTCTTCACAACAATCTTATTAGGTTGGTACTATGATCCCCGTTTTACAGATGAAATAACTGAAGCACAGAGAGGTGGTGCAGCCTGCCACGAATCCTACAGCGATAAATGGCAGAGCTGGGACGGGGCCTGAGGTGGCTGAACCCAAGGCTGTCTGACCACTCCTGCATACTACACTGCCTTTCTCTGAGTCGGGTTCAAGGGCCTGCTGAGCTGTAGGGCTGTGGACAAGCGGCTTCATGTCTCAGGGCTTGAAACTCCTCGAAGGGGAGGGCAGACTTTACGGTGCCCTCTTGGGGCTGGGGGCAGAGAGTTCAAAGAGAAGGAAGAAAAGAGATGTTTAGATCGAACACACCCAGAGTGCTTTGCAGAATGACGCCACCAACCCTCACCACATACCGCACTTCATGGATGAGGAAACTGAGGCTCTAAGCCATTAGATCACCTCCCTCCCGGTCCCTGAGCTTGTCTGACTCCAGAGGCACCGCAACCCTAGAGACCCCCACACAGGTGAGGGAAGTGAGGCCTGAGAGCATCAGGGACTTGTCCTAGGTCCCACAGCATCTCAGGGCTAGGGCCTCGGAAGAACCCTGGCCTCCCGACTACAGCCCCCTTCTCTCTTCAGTGTACTGCCAGGATACCGTG